AGATCACATGGGAAGGGGCTGTGGAAAATTATCTGCATGGAAAAAGATAAATTTTGACAGTGCGTTAGTTGGAGGATTGGGAACGGAGAGAGAATTGGATTTTGGAAGGATGTGTGGATTGATAAGGGAACTTTGAAGAACAGATTCCCTCAGCTTTTTACCATTGCTAAATATAAGGAGATTTCTGTCAAAGATGCCTACAGAGATGGAGAAGGTGGGAGGAAAAGCAATGTGGAGGTTACAAGGAATCTTAATGACTGGGAAGTTAATGATTATGTCACTTTTGAGGTCTCTATGCTCTGTATCACTAAATGAGAACCATGGTCAGCCAGATTGGTCCTTCAGTACCACAGGGAAATTCACAGTTGGTTCCCAGGAAGTTAATCAAAGATGAGGACAATGAGAACAATTTTCCGGTCAATCAAAATTGGAAGATGAATAGGCCTCCCATGATCAGTTTTTTTTTTTTTGCTTGGGAATCATGTTGTGGATGCATTTTGACCCTTGAGAAGTTGACGAGAAGTGAGAAGATTATGGTAAACTGGTGTTGCTTATGCAAGAGTGCGGAAGAAACATGTGATCACATCCTAATTTGGTGTCCCACTGCTTATAGTATGGATAATGGCTTATGGGATTTTGGGGTTAATCAAAGATGAGGACAATGAGAACAATTTTCCGGTCAAGCAGGATTGGAAGATGAATAGGCCTCCTGTGATCAGTTTTTTTTTTTTTTTGCTTGGGAATCATGTTGTGGATGCATTTTGACTCTTGAGAAGTGACGAGAAGTGAGAAGATTATGTTAACTGGTGTTGCTTATGCAAGAGTGCGGAAGAAACATGTGATCACATCCTAATTTGGTGTCCCACTGCTTATAGTATGGATAATGGCTTATGGGATTTTGGGGTATAGCTGTGTTAGAGGGGGTAGTGTAAGAGAGGAATTGTGGGCTCGGAGAGGTATAACTGGGAGGAGAAACCACTTAGGTATTATACCATTGACAATTTTTTGGCTCTTTTGGAAAGAAAGAAATAGGAGAACTTTTGATGGGGTGAAAGGTAATCTTGATAAAATTAGAGTGACATCGTTCCAGACTAAAGTTTTGTGTTAAGAGTCAACCCTTGTACTCCATGGAGATTTTAGGGATTTAATAGATATTTTGGTTGAAATGTAAATATTTTTGTATGAATTTGCACCCTTTTGGTGCTTATACGCAATGATATTTATACTTTTTGTTACAAAAAAATAAAAGGATTTAGCACGCCCCAATCATGATTCAGTCCCACTTGTTCCTGCTTGACAGTAACCGTTTTGCCCACATGCAAAGTACAATTTAAGGCCTAGGCATATATACTTTAAGGACTGGTAAGGTATGATCAACCCCCAAGAAACCACTTTTGCCAAAAACAAATCCCATTCCCATTATGTTAAACTATACGTCAATCATGAAAATGGAAGAGATAGCTTATATATACAAATATATATCGTGTGGCAAAGTCAAACTTTCAAGCATCTCACATAGGTAGTTCTTTTGCAATGGATTATTCTGAAAATATCTTGCACAAAAATATTAGATTAGCAAGTGTTGATATGGCTAATTACATGGTAACCAAACGAACAATGTCACATTGAAAAATAGAAATTAGTGAACTAATATATATTAGAGACTATGACATTAGGGTTAAACTGGCAATGTTGGAACAGACAGAAGAAATAACTTGAACATGCCTATAAAGTGGAGATCTGTTTTTAAATAAACCTAGCTGAAGAAAGCTGTTTATCATGTGCTGTTATCTCTCGAAAGAGAAAGCATTGGAAAATGACATATGTACGACACATGTTTCTCATTTATGTTAAACATGCATTCTTAGTACCTCTCCAAAGAGAAAAACATTGGAAAATTACTTATATACAACATATGTTTCTCATTCATAAACACATAGGTGCATCTAAATTTCAAACCTACTGCATATCTTTCTGGTTAATCTAACAAACATCCTGTCTCTTAATTTCTGACTATTAAGTTTTTCATTATTCCAATGCTCTCGTAAGATATGTTTCTCATAAGTGCTAGATTTCCATTTTGAACTCTTAGTTTTGGATATTCAGTTGGATTTGAAGATAGCTACTATAGTTAAATATATGACTTCACTGGATTAATGCTGTCTTAGCAACTTTCTTCCCAACTTAATTACCTGTCATATTCACTATCTAACAGATCACGATTTCCCACAAAAGGTATTTCCAAGTATATATTCGAACTCTCTTCTTTATTGCATCAATTCAGTTACAATAATAAGAATAATCTTATCTTCACAGCCAAGCAGAGTCAAAGGTCAAATTCAAAACATCACATACGACAATGTCACTTGAAATCAGTAAGCATACAGTCAAAAATGGGCAATTAGAGTAACTGACGATTAAAAGCTTGCAGGAATTGAAATGAAATGAAATTTCAATGCTGGATTTGTAAACCAAAAATAGACGCTTATAAAATTCAAAAATCCAAAAGGGAAAAAAAGAAAAAATAAAAGAAAGAACATACCTGGAGAAGATGATTGATCGTTATTCTTCTTTGCTGTAGCTTGGACAACTAAAGACTGATACTTAGACGACGACGACGACGAAGACGACGTAGAAGAAGAAGAAGAGTAAACATTGCGCCTCAAAACCCTGATCTCTAACACCCTCGTTTTTCCTAATTTGCGGGAAATTGGTTTATCGGGAATCCAATCCCTCAGCCACAAGGAGCTTCTAGTGGTGTTCTTGACATGCAGCGCCCACAGATCCATCACTGAATTTTCCGGGAAAACGAAGGAAGTCAATTTCTCGGGAAAATACAATGAAGGGTAGGAAAATCAATTCAACGGATAGGAAAAAAGAAAAAGAAAAAGAAAATAAACGAAGGAGAAGAGGAGAGTCCTGAAAAGGACACATAAGAGCAGAGACTCGAAAGAGAATATGCTTTTGGTTTTTAACGGAACTTATTTAATTATTATTATTATTTTTCCATTTCCGCGGAAATGGGCTGGGCCGAACGAGCCCAAAATTAAATAATAGCCCAAATTATTTTATCCCTTTTTCGAATAATATTATGGTTTTGATATTCTTTTTTTTTTTTCAAGATTCTATTTATTTTCTCAAAAAAAAAAAAAAAAAAATCAAATTGGCTAAATTTTTAGAAACGTTTCACATGGTTATTTCAGGAAAAAACTTCTTAAAAACGTTTTTTTTTTTTTTCTAAGATCAGTGAATATTCTAATTTAATTGTTAAGACTACGCGCCCAATTTCCACCACTTCTTCCTTCCTCTGCTATATATGTGTATACAAATACATATATATATATATATGCTTGTCTATGTCTAATTTTGAATAAGACATGAGGGATGCACCAGACTTCCAGTTGATCTCCTTAATTTGTATATATGGTTTAATGCTTTCATGAAAGTATTATTAACCAGTTGAAACTCTTCCTACTCATACATGTATACAATGTGTTTATACATATATATAGTACATATATACACATACGTACAACTTCCCAACTCGTGGCTGCTACTGTCCTTGTGATGCTACTCGTTATAGCATTGCTTCTTTCATTTTTTTTGGCTCCAATTTGTTAAGCTTTATATTATTATGTATGTTTTTTTCTTCTTCTTTTAGCGCACGACAACCTTGTTTTGTGTAAGAAAATAAAAACAAGACAAGACCAGTTTGTTTGTTTTAATGAATTTATAAATAAAAAAATATTAATTAATACAATAATAAATAGTTTATTAAATCAAATTTGCAGTCTTTTTTTTTTTTTTTGAAGTTAAGTTGAATCAAGTGTGGTAGTTGGACTCTCTCCACTAATTCAGTGACTGAACTTTCCATTAATTCAGTGAACGACTAATTCTTCAGTAACAAAGTAATAAGACTCGGATCAGACATGTGGAAGGTTAAAAAAAAAAACAAAAAATTAAAAATTCAAAGGGAAAAACATGTTAAATTTGGTGAAATAATGTAATCTTAAAACTCGTTAATTTTCTGAAACTATAAATTCAATCTCTCTTAACTTGATAGATTCTGAGACTAATTCAAGCCCCACAATCTTACGATCCTACTTGTCTTTCTCAAAACACTTTTTCTTCTTCTTCTTCTTCTTCTTCTCCACACTACTCTATTTAAACCCATTAAACCCCATCTTCTTCTTCCCATCAATCTCTGCAAAAAAACTCGAGAGCGACTCTGCAACCAACTAAGTGTTGTAGTATCCTGCAACTATGGTAATTAGTTCTTAATGCTTAAAAACTTAATCTTTTAATTCAATTTCTTCTTTTTCTTATATAATCTAACAGTACTATTCTGTTTATTATCAGAGTCGCCAAGCTGCTGATTCCGAACCTAAGAATGCTGATCTCGATAACTGGCTACCCATCACTGCATCAAGAAAGGCCAAGTGGTGGTACTCTGCTTTCCACAATGTCACTGCCATGGTTGGCGCTGGTGTCCTCGGTTTACCCTTCGCCATGTCTCAGCTCGGCTGGTATATCTATATATTTCTATATCTATACATTAAGAAGAAAGAAAGAAAGAAAGAAAGAAAGGAATTCTATAAACTGGGTTTTCTTTATTGGATTCAAAAAATGAACTTTGTTTTCTGCAAGGTTTTATCAACTGGTTTTTCTTTTTTTGACCAAAAAAAATATAAAAAGGATTATATCAACTGGGTTTTCTTTATTTGACTGAAAAACTATAAACTTTGAAGGTTATATCAACTGGGATTTTCCTTATGGTTTCAAAAAAAAAAGAACTTTGTTTTCTGCAGGGGTCCTGGAGTATTTGCAATCTTAATGTCATGGCTGATAACATTTTACTCGCTATGGCAACTGGTGAACATGCACGAAACAGTCCCTGGAAAACGTTTCGATCGATATCCCGAACTGGGTGAATATGCATTTGGACCAAAGTTGGGATATTGGATCATCATGCCCCAACAAATGCTAGTCCAAGTTGCCTCCGACATAGTTTACATGGTCACCGGAGGAAAATCTTTAGTGAAATGTGTCGAGTTATTCTTCCCACAATTTCACTACATTCGACAAACCTATTACATCCTCTTCTTCGGAGGGATCCAGTTGTCTTTCTCAGTGTCCCAACTTTAACTCCCTCAAAGTCGTCTCCCTCCTCGCCACCATCATGTCTTTTGGGTAAGTATCTATAGTGTTTACCCACAATTTCTAGTAAAAAATAGATTTTACCCACAACTTCTCGTAAAAAAAAAAAAAAAATAGAATTTACCCCCAACTTTTCGTAGAAAAATAGTCTTTACCCACAATTTCTCGTCGACGAATAGATTTTACCCACAATTTTTCGCAAAAAAATAAACTTTGCCTACAACTTCTCGTAAAGCAATAGACTTACTAACCGAAACAATTTTTTGGTTGTGGAGATATTGCATGTTGGCATGTGTGGCATCGACGATAAAAGGAATCCGGCACGGCCATCCGTCGGACCACAGTGTCCGATCACACACGACGGCCGGCATGGTTTTCGATGCACTGAATGGTATTGGGACGATAGCTTTTGCATTTGCAGGGCACAGTGTAGCACTTGAGATTCAGGCGACCATCCCTTCGACGCCGGAGGTTCCGTCGAAGAAACCAATGTGGCTGGGCGTGATGGTGGCGTATGCCATCGTCATTGCCTGTTATATCTCTGTCGCAGTGTCGGGATTCTGGGCTTTTGGTCACGGTGTAGAAGATGATGTTCTTATTTCTCTTGGACACCCTTTTTGTCTCATTGCTTTCGGGAATTTCATGGTGTTTATCCACGTCATTGGAAGTTATCAGGTAAATTAATCGATGTGGGATACAATCTTTTCTTATTTCTTATAGTTCTTTTGAGATATGTAGAAATAATTTTGGTTGATGATTGAAGGTTTTTGCTATGCCAGTGTTCGACTTTGTCGAATCAAACTTGGTAAAAAAGTTGCACGTCAAACCAGGATTACCTCTTCGCATCATTGCTCGTAGTACATACGTCTGTAAGAATACATAGTATATATACAAACACATATAAAATGGTTTAATATATGTATGTGCGTGTGTGTATAATTATTGTGAACTTGTAACCGCATTGACGGCGTTCGTTGGCATCTGCATCTCATTTTTTGGAGGACTTCTCGGATTTTTTGGAGGACTTGTTTTTGCATCAACTTCCTACTTTGTGAGTTAATTTTTTAATTATTGGTTAATATTTATAATCACTAACTAATTAAAATTTCTTATTATTAATTAATTTCATGTAACCTTTAATTAATTAATTAGTTAATAATAATAATAATAATAATGAGTCCAATTATAATTAACAAAATTAAGCATTGCAGATTCCTTGTGTCTTGTGGCTTATCATCAATCGACCAAAATTATTTTCTCCTCACTGGTTCGCATCTTGGGTAAGTCTGTGGATTACTTTTAATAATTTCCAAAATATAAACCTAAACTAATTTGATATATTATACATGAAAAATGTAATTTTCAATTATTATAATGTTGAATTTGATGAATGTTCAAATATTTGCAGATTGCTGTTATTATTGGTGTTCTGATAGCTCTGCTTGCACCCATTGGAGGAGCCAGACAAATTATTCTCCAAGCAAAAACCTACAAGTTATTTTCATATTCAGAGTGTAAATAAGTTAGGCTTCATTTAGTACACAAGGATATTTTTTAACTTTTTATGTTTTTTTTTTATAGGTTTATGTGTTTATATATAAAAGTAAATTAGTATTTATCATAATTAAATATAAAATTTTTAAAAAAGTTTTTTCATTTTTTTAAAAAATATATATTTCGATATAAAATTAAGTTAGTATTTTCGTAATTGAATATTAAATAGAAAAAATAACACCAAGGAGTAACCCAACAATAAAATTTATGTATAGATAAATATATAATAAAAATATAATTAATAAAACAAACATGATGATACATTTCATATTATATTTTAGAAAAAATATATATATTTACTTCATAGGGATTAAATTCCTCTAATCATCATTAAGTAAAACAACACCGAGTAGTAACCCATCAAATTTTCCTATATATATATATATATATATATATAGATAAATAAAACAAAGATACAACTAATAAAATTGAGTATGAAGATAACAGCAACACAACCAAATCATCAGTTCCAGAAATATCATACAAGTGTCAAAAACATTTTGGCCTGACAAAATCACGCCTATTGCTGCTACTCTTAATTCTGCATCGTTTTGGTTCAGGGATAACCCCATCTAGAAGAACCGGGAAGACATTGAAAGTTGACAGACGCATGCATTGATTATTTCCATTCCAACAAGAAAAAGTAGGGGGGGGGGAAAAAAAAACGAAAGTCCAAGTACAAATTTATGATAGATTATGCTGGAGAAGTGAGATCAATAAACAAAACATACCACTAAAAAGATACTCAAAGATTATGTAATCAAAACAAACAAGTAGCATGGGAAAGAAATATTCGTAATTAATAAGCAATAGCTATTGGTGTCCCACTAACAACTTTTTACTTGAAGAACTGCTTTTATGCCAAAACTCTTAAGAACATGGAGATCCAATTTCATCCTCGTCCTAGAGGCCTTGCATCTCCTGCTCTTTGCAAAAGATTCTTCCACTGAGGATATGTATATTTCACCCCCTCGTCCTCTTGGAGCCTCGCTTTCTGGATCTTTCTTTTCCATGATTTCTCGTTGAATGGCCTCCAGAGCTGACTGAGGCAGGTTGGGCAGACTGAAAAGGCACATGATGCCCAGGAACCAAAGCAGGGAACCCAACAGCAGGGATTCTGCAAAACAACAAATCTCAATGATAAATTAAATTTGGATATCATCATAAACAATCCCATCAAGAGACCATTAAGGTTAAAATCCGAATAGAAGTGTTTGATTACGGCTAGCAACTCGGTTGTTGATCATCTATCCTCCTTATGTGTTCTTAGTAAATCTTCCAGCATGTGATAAAAAACCACGCTGATTTACTTAATAGTACAGGTGAATACAGCCTCCAAATGATCCCGAGACATGTATCTTTCAGATATGCATACGGAAGTTGATGCTAACACAAGCAGGAACTACAGTTACTGTTAGCAAATGAATGCAAGACTTAGGAGTTTGAATGAAGCAAGTCAAATATTTAACAACTTAAGCGCTTAAACATAACTTGAGTTCAATTCAAAGTTCCATTTGAGCTTTTTACTTGCTCATATGAAAAAATTATAATGACAAAGTGTGACTCAGCTTGAGTTGTAAAAGCCGAATCTAACTGAACCATGTTTAATAGACACAGTTAGATGCCAGCCACCCTTGCAACAAAAGGCTTCAAGTAATGCAGCGAACAAAGAAAAGACTTATTACTGACAGTATCTAGTAATGCAGAAAAAGAATAAGCCAATAGAATTTATCCTTTTTTTTTTTTTTTTTTTGAAAAAGTCATTTAAGTTAGTATTTCATATATTTTTAAATTACTTATGTTATTTTGGAAACATAAGTAACATAGGAAACTTTCAATTCAATTATGATTTTCAAGTACCACCCTTCCATGAGTTTGATTGTGATTTAAAAACTGTTCAGTTTTTTCTTGATTGTTTGACATTATCCTTATTTGATTATTACTTGGTACCTAGACAAAGGTTACTAACCAAGAAAGGGATTACATAAATGATTAGAGTTATAATATTGGTTTTTCAGAAACATTAGTTATATTGTTCCTTTCTTGCTCTTCTTGTACTTTTCTTCTCTGTCCTATTTCTGTATTCCATCTCTGTGTCCCTCGGTGCTTCTGATTCTACCTCTCCATCCCTTGTATTTTCTATCTGATCTTCATATTTCCTGAATAAACATTGTCATCGATCTTCGTATTTTTGAATAAGCATCAGTCTTCCCCTATTATCATTGGTTGTTAAGATTTTACTTCTCTATTCCCTAGTTAAGCTAATCTTTTTTCCCTTATATTCCTATATTCGATCTCATCTTACATAACTTGGCAACTAAACCCAGTGTCCTACTCACCTGGTGTTTTTAACTTGCTATCAGCTCAGTTAAGAGTATCTTTTATTTTTTCTTTGAGGGGAATGGTACTGGCAGTCAGTTACGTTGGCATTTGCTTGTACGATTTATAAGCTACAAACACATTTAAAACAAATTAGTTAAAAGTTAAATTTGAAAAAAGGGAAAGGAGGAGACCCAAGAAATAATTCCTTCGGGATATTATTTAAATCCAGTAAAAATTGTAACCATGCAATTATTTCCATTCTCTTTCATGGAGCCATTCGTCAAAACCAATTAATCATATATCAGATATATTAAGAGACTTTCTTGGTATAACCTCACACTAGCCCAGGCAAGCTTTCTGAGAGCTACAATCACAAGAGAAATGCAATAAGGGACAGGTGGTCCAGGATTCATACCCAACAAGAGCACAGCAGACTCCTGCTTGGCCCGTGAAGCACCAAATGCACTGCCTCCATTGTGTAAACTCAGATGAAGTGCTTGATTCTCCGCAGCAAAGCACTGAAGCAACCGCCCCAGTCTCCGACATTCTCCTTCCAAATACTTACTCTTCATCTCCAGATCTCTCACATACATCTTCTTCCTCTCCCTTGATCTCAAGGCAGCATCCCTATTCCTCAATTGCCTGGAAATAAGATCAATTATCATATTGAGTCCACCACCTTTCCATCCAATTCAGGCCACTTAATGATCAGATAGCATCATACAATCACATTTTTTTTCTTTCTGTTATAAATATCAGCATCAAACAGTTAAAAGTTCAACCAGGAGAACTTTGGAAGAGAGCCAAATATATAAACATCAACCAAAAAATGATATATGAATACTCAAGAAATCCATCTTTGCAACCAGTAGAAAGTAAAGAAATAAAGGAAAAATAAAACTGATCAAGCCACTTTGACTGCATATTGTGCAAATTACAACTTACAAGAATAAAGCCTCACATATAAACCTCCACACTGTTACTTACACTTTAAATTATCCTCCAACAATAAGCATAATGGCGATCCTTCAGAACTAACCATGAGACCAAAGCTTATCACCTTTGTGGTTAATGATAAAAGTATTTCTAGTTTCCTCAAATGTAAAAGCTGATAGACAAGTTGAGAGAATTGAAGACGAGAGTAAATTAGCCATACCTTCTCCGTTTCTTGGCGATAGGATCATTGGGGTCGTAGCCGTCTTCGTTGATGTCAGCTCCATCTGTCTTTTCCTTCTCAAGGCCGCTGTTACCAGACTCATCATAGATATTGGTTTCCTTGTCGATAGGAGCGTCCACAAAATCCTCACTACAAGCGGAGCCATGAACTGGGGATTTGACCAATATATCCGCTAAAAAATCGCAATAAAATTGCTGATTCTCTTCTTGAGGAAGCTCGTCATTTGAACAGTCTTCATTCATCAACAAGCTCTCAATCTCACAGATTTTCGAAGGCACCGAATCTGGAGAAGGGTTAGAAAAAGCCTCGACCGGAGATGAATCAGATAGAACGGGGGGTTCATAATTGAACCAGTCACTGCAATCGAAAAATAATGGGTCCAATTCGATCTTTTCAACGACGTCATCACCTAGAAACCCTTGATCATCCATCCTTCTAAAAGATGAAGAAGAGAAGGAAATACAAAGAAAACAAATGAAAAAACTACTGTATATTTACAAAAATCTTTGAAAAACTGCGAGATTTAATCAGAAATATGGAATTTTACTTCCAAACTATGCACATAAAAACCTAGCTAAAGGAGGAAGAGCGGTTGGGCTTTCAGAAATTTTCTTGGGCATCCATAGCTCTTTCTTTGTGGGCAAGGAAACCTGACGCGGATACTGATTCCAGTGACCGTTTCTCTTGACCAGTAGCCGGTTCTGGATGTAATGGGGTCATCTACTTAGCCAACAATCTGACGGCACGGAATAAATTAAATTGACAGTTGTACGCTGTTACGATACTCTCGGTTATACGAGATCAAATTTTGTAGATGTTGTCACTCAGCTAATACGAGCACGCCGCGTGGAACGAGACTACACGTGGAAAGAACATCTGCCTACCCCTTTCTCCAACTTGCGTCGTGCACCCACCTCAGCATACGTATTTTCTCTTATATACATATAAAGTTAGAGAACATTGATATGATATTAAGCCGCTCCTATTAATTAATTAATTAGTTAATTAATTACATGTATTTTTTTATTAATTTAATTATATATATTTTACACTAGTATTATGTATAAATTTAACTAATATAAAAATAATTTAATCAATATTATTATATTTTAATTTTTAATTTAATATTTAAAGAATTAATTAGTTAAGTAATTTAATATATTATATATATTATTTATTTGTAATATTCAGGTCTGAAATTTAGTTCGAAATTAATTTTTGTATTTATAAAAATAATTAAAAATATTATTTAATTTAATTTTATCAAATTATTTGAAAAAAATAGATTAAAAACAAAATTAAAAGTAATTTTGGGAAAGATCGATAAAATTTTGTGCTCGAAATATATTTTTGAAACAAAAATTAAAAACATATGGTTAAAATGCAAAAAAAAGGAAATTCAGCCACGTGGAACGGCCCAATCAGCAGCCACGATGAACCAGAACACCGCATGGCAAAACATGCTAACATCAGTGCCACGCGGGAGGCCACAAGTGCGATATGCGTGCCCAGTGATCCAACGGCCTAGATTCAATCTTGCGCGCGTGAACGGCTCAAATACCTTTCCTCCTTATGTGCGATCAGACGGACGAGATCAATCGTGATGAACGGTCCAGATTCGCTCACGCAATCAGCCTAAATATGCAACGATCGGATGGCTCTTCTTACTCTACGTCAACGTGAATGAACAATCTAGATTGACGCGAGATAAGTATATAAACATCGCGTCACAGGAGAACCCCAACCCTAATCGCACCTTCCCTCGTTGGAGAAGAAGGACCAGCCACCGGAGAAGGAGACCGACCCTTGGCCGTCGCCGCACCAGTGCCACCACCAACCGTTAAAAAAGATAAAATTCTCCCATATCCGCTCGGAATTCAATTCTGAGATTTCCTGTGGCCATATCAGAGTAAAAGAGATAGCGAGTGAGCCGAAAATTACGGATAAAGCCCGACGGAGCCGTCGCGGCCGAAATCCTAAAACTCCTCCGATAAGTCCCTTCTTGTTTCACACAATTTTTATGACCATTATGTTCACTATCCTTTTTCTGTGCAGGTTAGTCGAAGAAGAAACCCCAACAACGAAGGACAACAGGTGGAGCCGTCGCACGCGGAGACCCCCCTTGCCGGTAGGTTTGATTTTTTGTTATTTTCTAGCCAACCGAGGCTCTCTAATGTGTTTTTTTGTAGGAATACGTGTAAAATCGACAAAAACTAGCTAGGCCGAGGTGAACTGTTGCTGTGGGCGGTGGTGTCGTGCTGGAACTCTAAAATTGACCGAAAAGGGTTTTCAACACTAATTTTAGATTTTTAGGGTATTTTTAGGTATATAATGAGTATTTTAATTATCATAGGAAAAATTTAGGAAATTCAGGACCTATTAGGAGGCGTAGTAGATAGCACGGTGTTTCGAAACACTGATCCGGGTAAGGATCCCTCACCGTATTCTCGGTTACGGTAAATTGAAGATTATTAATCGATAATTGTGTGTTTTGTGAAAAATTAGAAAAATTCTAGAAATATTATAAATCACTAGTGGAGCCGAACCGGTTAGTTCACATTTATCCTGATTCCTTGTTTATTTTCTTGCACTGCCTATATTTGTTTACTATTATACTATGCGTAATTGAATTAATGATTTTTATGGTCTTCTGAATTATTTGGTTATTTATTTCCTCCTGCATTATTTGCTCGGTATTCTGGTTATTTGGTTTTTTGATTATGCTAAACTATATCGCTTGTTTAAGTGCCATTTGAATTAATCTGTGAATATGAAATAAGATGTTAGTATATTTTAATGGTTGTTTGGATAATAAGAATCCAAATAAATGAAAGCTTACTAGGCATCCTTGGAAATGGTGGACGGACTTAGTACATAAGGAACCTTACTATGGACATTATTTCAGTTGGATGGGACTGAGAAGTCCCATACTATATAAGTTTTGGGAGATATGGATCACCCTCATACCGGAAGGGGTATCGAGACGATAGTATTTTTGGTGCCCAATACCGAACAGGGTATGAGGACAGCCAAGTTAATTGTCAAATCTTGATACTGGGTCCACAAATAAAAGGATATTCCTATGGACACCCAGGAGTCCCAGTAAATAGGTTAAAAATGAAGGATTATTGATTCTATGCATAAAATTGAAATGTCATTTGGTTAATTATCTTCATATGTTGATTTTGGAAAAAAAAAACCGTAACGGTAAGTATCGAATAAAAAAATTTAAAGTTCATTGTATTTACTTAAAGCAATGGTTTCATTAGTTGTTTTCTGATTTTTACCAACATTCAGTTTTCCGTATCAGTGATTAATATGATATTCTTATTGGGTTCGTGTAGCTAACCCTTTCATTAACCATTCCATATTAAGAAGACCAAGATGCAGATCCCGATCGGTAAGAGAGTTGTGAGTAGTTCACCTTCTGGCTTTAAGTGCTAGTGAAGGTTGTTGCCCTAGGATATTTATTTATTCATTTTTTTTTCTAATTACCGTTTGTCTTTTATGAACCACGTAGAATGGACATTCCCGTAACCCTATTAGGCAATTTAATTTATTGTGTAAAGAATATAAACCCTAATATTATTACTCACTTTCACATTTAAATTATAAATTTATTTCCTTTAAAGTTCCAGACCTTTATAGTTGGTATCAGAGTTGCATTCCTCGAAATTATTCCTTACACAAAGACTTAAAAATACCAAATACAAACTGTCGCTCAACTATTCCTTATGAAATGCAGGTACAAGGATATGAGGAGAATAAGACACCCACTAAACGAAGCAGTCCGGGATGGTTCGCTTCGAGTGGATGTTGACCGAATTTTTGAGATGCTAGAGAGACTCATCTCTTCCCAGCATGCCCGGGAGGAAAGGAGAGAGTTGTCTGACCCTCCCTCGCTGCTATAATTTAAGCCATCCTTGCAACGGGAAGATCCGGAGTCACCCCGGTACAACCTTACTTCTCCACTGTATCATCTAACACTTCTACAATGCAACCTGGTGCCTCCACCATATCATTCGGCACCGCTATAGGGCCACTTATTCCCTCACAACACAATCCAATTCCTCTTCCATGGGATCCAGTTCCACTCATGATGGACCCAAACTACATTGAAAGATACAAAAGACCAAATTTATATACCTTTGTAGAGGCATCCTCTTTTAAAGAGGTCGAGTATTGGTTAGTTGAGACAGAGACAACTTTTACGACTCTTGGGGTGATTCCTAAACAGAAGGTCGTACTTGCCACCTACATGCTTGTGAGAGAGGCAGGTCGCTGGTGGCAACTCAAACAAGCTACCCTGCTCATTCTAGTCACTTGGAAACAATTCCTGATGGCCTTCAATGCAGAGTACCTCCCAGAGTACCTCCAATATTTGAAGAAAATTGAGTTTGTACACCTAGTTTAGGGTGATATGACTGTGTTAGAGTATACCCAAAGATTCCTAGAGTTGAGTCGATATTCCCTTAAGAGCATGATAGATAAAGGAAGAAAGATAAATAAGTTCGAGTGGGGCCTCCGTCCTGAGATCAGATAGTAATTGTACATATTTGAGCTCAACACATATTTAGTCATCTTGGCCAAGACACAACTAGTAGAGAGGAACTTTCATATTTTCCCTCAAGTAGTAAGAAATTTCAGACCCCCAGTTTCTCACCGCGAACCAGCACCCACTGTACCAGTTCAGCAAAGCAAGAGGCTTAAGCCAGTGACTCAAGCTTCTCATCAGGCTCTGATAACAGGGTGCGGTAGGATTTGTCAACACTATGGCAAGGATCATGGAGACCAATCCTGCTATTGTCTCAACATTACATGTTACATATATGGGAGTGTCCAACACTACGAGAGAGAGTAACTGTAAAATCAAAACCAAGTCAAACCTCCTATCTAGGGCAGAGCCTACAACCTTACCCAGCAGGATACTGAAGCCAACTCGGATGTGATACATAGTACGTACACTATCTGCAATCATTTTGCACATGTTTTGATTGATACTGGTATTTCACATTCATTTGTCTCACATATTTTTACACAAAACTTGAATGCATTACCTAAGAGACTTGATTCTGTGTTGTTTGTGTCCACTCCTGAAAGTAGAACACTACTAGGGGATGTTATATACAAAACTTATATCATAGACATAGCATATAGAAAACTGAGTGTGGACTTGATAGAGATCGACACGGGGGCCTTTGATGTAATTCTGTGAATAAATTGTTTAGCGGCGTATCACGTCACCGTAGATTATTTTCACAAAAAACTTGCATTCAACCCTCCAAACGAAGAGTCATTTATAAGTTAATAAAAGTTTTGAATATTATTCCCTCATAGCAATTCTCTTATTACATAGCACTTTAACTCGGTTGTCTTCTCTACACAGGCAAACCTATGCATTTAAGAGATCCTAGTAATTTGAGACTTTCTGGGTATTTTTTCTAAATAACTACCTGGAATGCCAGTATACAGGAAAGTTGAGTTCGCCATAAATATTCAGCCTGACACTCAGCCTATCTCGGTTATCCCTTACCGCATGAGTCATGTTGAGATGGAAGAATTGAGAAAATAAATCATTGAGTTACAGGATAGTGGGTTCATCCGATATAGTATGTCTCTTTAGGGTGGTAGAGTCACATTTGCAAGAAAAATTGATGAGATGTTAAGATTATGTATTAACTACAGGG